CTAACTTAACTAATATACTCATATATGAATACAGTTAAATAGTTTTTCTGTATTTACCTGTATATTCGTTCGTTTTTGAAGCAGAGCTCCAGTCTGTGGAGTAATATTCACTCTAAAGTAAAGGAAGTAAATGGATATTTATCAATACAATACAATACAATACAATACAATAAAAATTTATTTATCCACGGTAGAATCTTCAGTATATAAATATATACAAGTTTAAGCATGCAAAAATAAATAAAAGAATATGATCTACTGGTTTACAAGATTGCCGTGTGGGAGTTCATCTAAACTATTATAGTACTTGTTTACAGCTTTCCGGAACTGAGCAAACGATTGAAGCATTCTTATATTTTCGGGAAGGCTATTCCACAGCACTGCTCCACTGTACTGAAAGCTTCGCTTCAGATAATTAGTTCGTGGCTTGGGTAGATTCAATTTCATTTCAAAGTTCCTAAGATTATATTCTGAGCCACGAACTGAAAAAAGATTTTGTAGATAGGTAGGTGTGTCACCTTTGAGTGTTTTGAACATCAAGCCAGCTTTAAGTTTTTTGCGTCTCAACGATAAGTTACCCAAGTGTAAAGTATCAAGAAGCACAGTAGCATTAGTGTCATAGCTGGACCTCGTAATGACCCTGACCGCCCGGTTCTGTAATTTTTGTAGTTTAGAACTTAGCGTTTCGCCAAGACCATCCCAGACCGAGCAGCAGTAGTCAAAATGAGGTTGAATCAGTGCTTGGTATACTTGGATAGCCATGTTCGTTGAAATGCAGGATCTTATACGTTTTAAAGCCCCTATGGCTGAAGCAATTTTTTTACATAGTTTGTCAGTATGCTCAGACCACATAAGGTGATTATCAAGATGGACACCCAGAGATTTTACCGAAGTAACTTGGTTGACCATATTACCGTTTATCTCAATATCTATTTCATTATTTAGTGTTTTCATTCTCTGTCTAGATCCAACTACCATGAATTCTGTTTTTACAATATTTAAGCTTAGTTTATTAGTGGTTAGCCAATCGCTTAGACCTTTATTATATTAGACCTTTGTTATAGATACACGAAAGACTTTATCGCGTTGTTCTTACCATGTTTGGCATCTGTGTCAATGTCAAATTGCTTTTAGAGGAGAAATTAGCAGTGGCGGCGCCAGGGGGAAGGGGGCAAGGGGGGGCAAATGCCCCCCAAAATTATTTTTTGCCCCCCCCATTTTGCCCCCTCAAAAAAATTATTAGTCACTAAGAGCGACTAAAGGCTACACAAGCGTTCTGTCGTTATCGGAAAATGTATGGCTTATAAGTTGTCATTATTCATTAGTGAATGCGCGTATACATGCATGAAACTGTTTTTACAGTTTCAATATTAGTTTGTAAATCTCTGAATGGTAAAACTTGCCAATACTCCAGTAATACTCGTTTCAGCTTTAGTTTTGCAGAGTTAAATTCTCAAACGTGTAAGGCAATAATAAGATGAAAGTATCACGAAATTATTTGAATAAACCACATCGCATATATGGGGGGCCGAATGTCCTAAAGAGGGGCGATATTCCTAGGGTATTCGCCCCACCCCCCTGGGAGGTGATATTCCTAGGATATTCGCCCCCGGGGGCGATATTCCTAGGAATATCGCCACGTTTTGAGGGGGGGAGGGCGAATTTCCTGGGGGGGCGACCTTTTTAAAAATTCTATCTTGCTCCCCCAAAATTTGAGCTTGCCCCTCAAATGCCCCCCAAATTTGGAAGCCTGGCGCCGCCACTGGAAATTAGATAAGGAAAGCTAAAGTGTGAAAGTCTATCAGGCCGATATGATGGTCTGGAAGCGCGGCAAAGTTACAAAACAGAAAACCTTTGTTTGCTGTTGAACTGGACCTCAACGTGCACAAATCCTTTGTTTCAACTTTATTAAATATTACTCATCGTGGTTGCACGTTTATCTCAGCTATCCCTATTAAACGATCACTTTACTAGTACCCTCGCACGGCGCTTCGCGCCGTCGGCTCGGGGATTATACGAAATACAATGAGCTCAATCACCGTGATCATGCTCAAATGAACATAAACTCAGAAAAAAAAAACATAAGACGTTGACTTCTGTTTAGTTTCCAAACAAATCATCGTCATAACCAACAAGTGGCGTACCTTGTCATTGAGTACAATCCTTTGAAAAATACTGTAACTAGTGCCAAGCTCCAGCGGACCATTATAATAATCACTTGAGGTTCAATCTCGTTCCCCGAGCCTGCGATCCTTGGGAAGGAAACGAAGGCTCTGGGATAATCCGAATCAACCGAATCAGACATACAGAAAACTGTATGTCGACCGAACTGCGCATGCGTTGGCAAAAGCAAAACAAATTGTTTGAAATATTTTATTGTTTCGTCTATAAAATGATGATTTTTTCGGAGGTTTTGGTGGAAATGTTGATGTTCTTCATAGTGGGATACAAAAGGTGTGTTAGTGACTGAATAAGGAAAATATTGCGTGTGAAACAGGGTCAGTATAGAGCCGGCAGGAGCCGCGAAGAGTGCTGTTGTCGAAGAAAAATGTCACAATTAATTGTAATCTTGTCCATTCACCTCTGTGTCAGTTTGACAAAGCTTTAAATGTAGAGATATTTGTGGTTTCTCCAGCATACTTTAGCCGTTTAACGCTCTTATGTTTCTAATGGTTGAAAGAGCGCGTGGAAAGGGCAATTTTCAAGAACAAAAACAATTACAATGTACTGTGTGTTAATAATTGCTACTGTACTATTAAAATACCTGAAGAGAGTCTCAATTCAACCTCGTACCCAGGGTCCCCGTGTTTAAAGGTTCTGGTGCACGTGGAGGGACCCTGGCAAACTCTGACTGCCAGGTTACCAAATAATCCAAAAATCTTGGAGTATTTGTCGACCTGGCCTTTTTTAGCATTGGCATAACGGGGGGGAAGACTCATAATAAAAAATATTTCACAAACTGCAAGTTTTTATCAAAGTCAGCTGTTTAAAAGGATTTTTATTGCACCTGTCGTACGATTTATCAAATTTTGATATCATAAGTGATATTTGAAGTGGAAAGTCATTCAATTTATACTGGTTAATATCGAAGAATTTGAACTCATGATCCGCCATCATGCCATGGAAATGTATATATAAATCTATATACAGAGCTCTGGTTGAAAAAACTAGGTACTGTGTTAAATACCACCATTAGGTAACAAATATATTCTCATACTGTATATAATGTTTACTCAAATTTGAATGTCTACAAATTGTTCTTTCCCATTGCAATTTGCGGCTTCTTATGCTATGCTTTTCAAGCCATGGAAAGACTTCATGTCAATTTTAAAGTCCACTTGTTGGCGTAGCTTGGCTTTATCTCAAATGGTTTGATCTTCTTCGGGTCCTGTACCATTATTACTTACTTAGTCTCTTCACATCTTAGATCTGAGACCTTGTTCAAAATTTTGTGAAAAGAATTTGATGACTTGAAGTACAAGAGGAGTTTCTTCTTGTTGATGTTGTTTCTTAATTAGCCATCACCATCTTTGCATGATGATCATGCAGTTGCATCAAGAACACAGCTAGCTCTATCATGTTTAAACCGTAGAACCTATCATTGTTTGAAAACATTTACACCATAATTATTATTCAAACTGCCAAGATGACTAAGTATCAGACAAATTGAAAATTAAAGTTATAGCATTTTCAAAACTGAATTGAATAGTCAAATTATTAAATTATTAATTAAAATATTGTTTAATTTATATATTATATTAATACAGTAAAAAATATTTAAGTTTGAGTAAACATTATAAATTATGCAGTATGAGAATATATTTGTTACATAATGGTAGTATTACACTACCTGATAGTGTTTTTTTTTTATCGAGAGCTTTGCGGTATAGTATATAGATTTATACATTTCTGTGGCGGATCATGAGTTCAAATTCTTCGATATTAACCAGTAATTGAATGACTTTCCACTTCAAAATATCACTTGTGATATCAAAATTTAATAAATCATGTACCAAGATCAAACATATTGGTTAACCCCTTATGCGGCAGTGCTCTCCCCTTGACGAGTAAAATCATCTGGTGTTGAATCGTCTGTATTAGACAG